GCGGCAGTCGCAGGGCCCACCTACCCATACCGCTTCAGCAAGGCCTGCCCACACCCGCCTCCGCGGCCGCGCCCGCGGTCACAAGCCCCGCTACCACACAGCAGCCCCGTTCGCAGCTGGAGCGGGCGTCCACCGACGGTCCGGCCCACGCGGCGGAGTGGGCCGGCGAGTGTCGGAGTGGGCCGGCGAGTGTCGGAGTGGGCCGGCCAGTGTCGGAGTGGGCCGGCCAGTGTCGGAGTGGGCCGGCCAGTGTCGGAGTGGGCCGGCGAGTGTCGGAGTGGGCCGGCCAGTGTCGGAGTGGGCCGGCCAGTGTCGGAGTGGGCCGGCCAGTGTCGGAGTGGGCCGGCCAGTGTCGGAGTGGGCCGGCGAGTGTCGGAGTGGGCCGGCCAGTGTCAGAGTGGGCCGGCCAGTGTCAGAGTGGGCCGGCCAGTGTCGGAGTGGGCCGGCCAGTGTCAGAGTGGGCCGGCCAGTGTTGGAGTGGGCCGGCGAGTCGGAGTGGGCCGGCCAGTGTCAGGGTAGCCGGCCAGTGTCAGAGTGGGGCCGGCCAGTGTTGGAGTGGGCCGGCGAGTGTCGGAGTGGGCCGGCCAGTGTCAGGGTAAGCCGCCAGTGTCGGAGTGGGCTGGCCAGTGTCAGAGTGGGCCGGCGAGTGTCGGAGTGGGCCGGCCAGTGTCGGAGTGGGCCGGTCAGTGTCGGAGTGGGCCGGCCAGTGTCAGAGTGGGCCGGCCAGTGTCAGAGTGGGCCGGCCAGTGTCGGAGTGGGCCGGCCAGTGTCGGAGTGGGCCGGCCAGTGTCGGAGTGGGCCGGCCAGTGTCGGAGTGGGCCGGCCAGTGTCAGAGTGGGCCGTCCAGTGTCGGAGTGGGCCGGCGAGTGTCGGAGTGGGCCGTCCAGTGTCGGAGTGGGCCGGCGGGTGTCGGCGTGAGCCGGCCAGTTTTGTTGGGGGTGGCGAAGCTGGGTGACGGAGACGCTGCCGCGGTAAAGTCGGCCAGCCGCCGGCCGCCTCGGGCTGACGCTGGCGAGCGCGCCGTCCAGGGCAACGGCGGGGCGGCGGCCGCGGCAGGCGCAGGCCGCCGCCGTCTGTCTTTGTTGGCTGCGGAAACCGTTTTGTCGCGTCGTTAGGAGCGGCGGTGTTTCGGGGAGGCGCCGCGGGGCGCGCCGGTCACTGGAGCATGAAACCGTTGTTTGCATGATAATGGTAAGATGTTTGTTATCGACGGCAACATGGATCCGAATGTGTTTATGAAAATGCGCGGCAGCTGTCCTTCGAAGATGTGGGCAAGAAAAGCAAAAGAGCCTCAGGGAAAGGCGGAACGCACCAGACTGAAGTATTCGCACATATTGTTGGAGCAGACTTACACTGAATGGGGACAAGCAAAACCAACCGCAAAAAAGTTCATGCCATGCTCGCCAGAGGAAGTCCTCGATCAGACATGAAGTCAAACAAAGAGTGACGGATATCTCGTGTTAACATGTCATTGTGTTCAAAGTGAAGATGGATGTTTGTGAGTATGCTGTTAAGATTTCTATGAAAATAACTCATTATTGTTACAAGACAATAATATTATCGCATGACGCTAAGCAACACACGCAATTTAACAGCAGAGACGCCAGTGTTATTTACGTCCCTCTGGCAACCCTCATCGGTCAGTATCCCGCTGAGACGCCCTGCCAGGTCTCACAGCGACGCTCTGGCTTTCCCATCGGAGGGCGGCGCCGCCTGACAGCCACACACTCACACTCTCTCACGCCGTGACGTCGTAAACGCGGCGGCCCGGCCGGCGCCGTTAGATCCG